CCCCAAAACTCAAAATGTTAGAGTAGCAATGGAAGAGATTTTTTGTAGTCTGAAGCTTCAGTGAAAAAGCTAAAGAGTAGGGGCTGCATCTGAATCCAAATCCTCTCACCATCCCAAAATTAAAGAAAGGCAAGGCTTTTTGTTTCCTTTAGTGCTGCACTATCAGGCATTCTACTTCAGAGAGGCCTTAATGTTGGGAGTGGAGAATGCTGGGTGGTGACCATATATTGAATTTGACAGTAAGTCCTACTATTACAGAAGTTGTTGGCTGCAAATCTTTAAAAACTGTTAGAACTGCATTTACTTTTTTTAAAGTCATGAACATATAAATAATGACCTGTATGGGTTAGTGATTCACCATAAGCCTAACACCACAGACTGATTGTTCATATATCACTTGGTTTCATCTCAACCACAACACTCTTCTGGAGTTAGTTCACACACTGACTGGGCAGTCTTTGAAAACAAGTTTGGACATATACCATGGTATAAAAAAAAAGCTGAAAGACAGGGATGGATGAATAGGCAATATTTGAGTTCACTGAAATTTTCCAAAAGCTTCCCTGAAGCTTGTTTCACCTCTTTCACATCCCTAGATGCTAGCATCTTTTTTTCTTAAGAGGGAAAATGCAGATTTTTTTTGAGTGACAAAAAACTGAAATGTTGACAATGCACAATGTATACCAACAGAAAAGAAGCCATGCCTTTTAAAAGAAATGCAGTTCCCCATGCATAAATGCACATTTTCCCAAGGGGTGTGTGTGTGGAGGTGGAGCTGTGGAAATGCATACCGGCACACTTCCAACTGCAGGATTGAGGAACTAGAAGATTACTGACCACGATGTTTCTGCTCATGTTAAAAGGTCCAAACAGCATGGGCTTTACGTGATTTGAGAATAGGAATAAAATTCTTGTACATCCCCAATTATAATCTCATTTTTCCATATATATGGGGTAACTGTCTTCACATTATTACAGGTATGCAGATCTATTTTTCAAGTTTTTAAACCTTAAATGCACAAGAGAATATTTTCTACTTTGCATTTAATTAAAACAAAAATTAGCAGCCAAAATTCAGTAATAGGCAACACTTATTCACATCACTCAACCTAGATTAAAATTTTAGGAGCTTTTGATTCAGTCACTTCCAAAACTCATTAGAATGCTGCCATCCCCTGTCTCTATAAAATATTGCAACTAAGTAGAGCATTGCCTCATCTGCTACCAAGATTGCTTCCAGTGCAACCTGTAAAATAGTTCCAGGTTCATTAAAAGCTAACTCTTCAAGTGCCAGACATTTTCCACACATTGGAAATACAGTGCAAGGAAATATGAAGCCTCATACACTCGTAATTAGTTTGAGAAGCACTCCTCAATAGTATATATTGCTCACAGTTTTGACCAGCTGAAATTGTTAGTGAAAGGTTTTAAGAAAATGAAGCTGAAACTTAAGAGATTTGAGTACTGCTTTTGCAAACTTATGTTCATTTAGACAGCTTTATGGAACCAGGAGAAAGGGTTCCTAAGTGCTGGGTTCCCAAACATAAAAAAATATTTTCCAATGATATGACCTTCCCATCCCTCTTATTTCGAACTCCAGTGAAATCATCATTAACTGCAGAATCATAGCCGCAAGAGAAGCAGCATTAAGGTAAAATGAAAAACAGTTAAGTAATATTTGGGCATCAGCACTTCCGTAAGAGTTCATTTCCAAGGCAAATTCAAAGTTTTAATTTTGACTGATAAAGTTCTTCATAGCTTTCCTCTCCATTCCCCATTGGATCTCTCTGTACCCTAATGTTATCTAGAAGGCTTTCTCCAAGTGCCCCCTCATTCTGGAGCCCAGAGTTTGGCTACTAGAAGAAGGGTCTTCTTTTTTTTTGTAATGGGTTTCTGTTACGGTACGTACCTCAGTGATGTTATATTTTCCCTAGGGAAACCCACTGTTTTCTTTACATCCATTCTTTCTACCATGTTTGTTCTCTTTCCATCAACTGGTTAAGACTTTTTTGTCTGTAAAGCCTTTAAAATCTCTGCTATCTTAATCAAGGTTATGTGGTGGTGGTTTTATCTTCTGGTCTTACTGTATTGCATAAGGTTGTTTTATATTGTATTTTTCATCATCCTGCCCTTGTCTGTGCTTTTTGCTTTTATCGTGTTGACTTTATACTATGTTACAGTTTTGTAGTTTTGTATTTTATTGACTTTTGTTCTATTTCAGAATGGTATGATGTTTGGAGCAATTGTTTTATAAATTTAAGAATAAGAATAGGCACATGCAACCACAGAAATTACTGCATGTATCCAAGTATTTCTATTTAAGACACTGCCATTTCCATTTTTATAGAATACAGATCAAATGTAGGTACACTTTAATAGGAATTTATATTTCTCTCTTTCTCTTGAACACATTTAACTAGACATTTTTATTTCTAGTAGGTATGCTTGAGTTACCAGCCTAAGATCCAGAACATAAGACTTTTTTAGCTGTTCATAAGACTGTACACCAGAACATTGAACATCACATAATGGTTAAGATGCCATATGGGGTACAGGATAAGGATCATAGGAAAATAGCAGATGCAATGTTTTGATCTGGAATTTTAAAAGACCACAGAACTGAAACAATGAACAAAAGGGGAATCTAGAACCTGATGCAGCATGGTGAAAGCACCAGAAAAAAACTCGTGATATGCTCCAATTCAGCACCTCCAGCCTGGTGTTTTGCAGTTGTATCACACTACAGCTGCCATACTGCCTGGGGATGCTGGCAGCTGTAGTCTTGACTCTTTTGGAGGGCACTCACCTAGAGATGCCTGTTCTGGTTAGTCAATCAGAAAAGCATGAACATTTTCAGGGGCTTATGCACATCATTCATAAGATACTGATATTAAAGGGAATCTGTTCTATATTGCTCAACAATAACTCAGTCTTACCATTTTCTCTGCAAGTAGGGCTGTAATTACACATTACATTAAAAATTTGTCTGCTGCCAAAAGTAACAGCTGTACACCTGATTTCTACCCACTGCTGCCTCCTTATTTCTTTCCTGATATCAATGTTTCCTGGTTCCTTCCCACCAGCCAACTTAACGAGTAGGGAAGAAACACTTAAGGGCACAGATGAAGCCTAGTTCACACTGAATTGGTATTGCCGTGCTTGGGTTTTTCTATTTCAAATTGCAAGTGTAGTTCACCTGAATAAACACAATTCCATATAATGAATAAAAAACCCACATGAAAAAACAGATAGTAAATAACATGTGAGATAGTAAATAACAAACTACCAGTCTATTTGGTTTCTTGATACAGAAGGAGGTGAACAGATGAGGCATCTTGTCCTTCATTTAAGACAACCAAATGACTTTCACAGTCCTGATTAGGTCTACAGAGGATCAAATTTATTCATTTCTTTATTTAGAGAATTATTAGGTCACCCTTTAGTAAAAACTCTGCTTACAACACAATAATAATAAAGCACAGTAAAAACACAAAGCTGCTACAACACAAAATAGCTGAAGCAGCAGTCAAACAAAACCACAACAATTCAGGAGAAACTATGGAACCCTAATCAAATCCAGACAAATAAAATGCCCTTTGGTATCAAACTGACATCAAAGTTGGTGCCAGTTGGGGAAATCATTCCATTGACAAAAATGAACGGTGGTCACAAGCACAAGCGCTGGCGAGAGGGCGGGCACTCCGGCCATTTATACTACGCGGGGGAGGGCACAGAGTTCCCACCAAAACCTGTTAAAGCTCTTCAATCTTCTCAGCAACAGGCGCTGCACAGGCACAGCACCCATATGTGTGATGCATGGAGACCACGATGAAGAGAGGCCCTTTCGGGTCATCGCCCCGCCTAGTTTCAATCCAGTGTGAATGGGATGGGGAGAACCAGTATGGCAGGGGACTTCTCATGATGACTGGTGAGTTAGGACAAGCTCCTATGGTAGAAAACAAGTTCTCCCCAAGCTACCTAGAGCTTTGTGTGCAATCTCCAACACCTGAACTGAACTTCAACCCGTGATTGCCATTTGCAGAAGCTTTGTGCCAGCTCCTCCCTAACCAACACTGCTAAAGAAAGAAAGAAACACGCACTTGTTCAGAGTTTCAGCTTGCTAAGAAACCTCTCATTTTTCTGTTTTCAGTTCAAAATAGGAAAGCTCTACTTTACATAAAAATAAACTTTAGCACATTCTGAAACAACTACTTTCTCTCCAGTCAACCAACTTTCAATTGCTGCAACTTTACTGAATTAGCGAAACATCACCTAACAGTTTTGCATTGCACATGTAGCAGGCTGCATTATACTTTCAAGGCCACAGATATTCTCTTTTTAATAACCTAAATTAGCTTTTAAAAAAATATAAATACATAAGTTAAACTGAGCCTAAAATTGTTTGTGGTGTCAAGCCACAAGTAAATGAAAGTCACAAGTAAATTGATAGAGAACTGGAGTACTCAGTGTTGCACTATGGCTGGAAAGATCAGGGTTAAATCTTCCCCTGGCCATGAAGGTCACTAAGGGCACAATCCTTTCATAACCCCTCTGAGCTCAGTTGTCTAACCATGAAGTGTCAGTGGGGAATTGCCTTAAACACTGCAGGATACATTGTACCTTGCTGGGGCTGGCCTCTTCCCCCCTCCCTGAGAGAATGCCCTCCACAAGCCCCTTCTTCAAGGTTGATTTTGAGACATTAAAAAAGCAACTGGTCTGATTCTTTCTGTACCTGGTGCAAAGGGGAGGGAGAGTTATCTAAATGCAGAACCCCAGGCCTGAGGTTGAAAAAGATTATCTAAATGCAGAACCCCAGGTCTGAGGTTAGTTATCCAAAACTAATATGGTCCTTTAGACACTGGGACTAGTGTCTATCTCTCAGCCTCACCTACCTCAAAGGATTCTTGCAAGAATAAAGTGACCTATGTGACCTTAAACTCCTTGGAGGAAAGATGGGTTAGAATTAAGTAAATCAAGCACAATTGCATGTCGAAACTCACTGTTTGCAAAGTCCCCTTGAAGCTGAAGAATCTGCGGAACAGGCATTGTGAGAATAACCCCATCAAACTGGTCTGAAGAACCTGTATTGATGCAGACTTCCCATTTCCCATCTCTGAGGTTGATTTGAGTAACACAGTGGTCATAGAAGATCTCTGCATCTGTTTCCAAATAAAAGAAAGAATGAGACAAGCTGTACAGGTTTCTTCCACTTGGTTTCTTTTCCTCCTCCTCCTCCTCTTCTTCTGGTCCACTCATATAAGTGAAAGAAGGGCTTTCATAAAAAGCATTCTATAATAATTTAAACCATTGTGAGTGTGTTCCTTTAAGATTGGTAAGTTTTAGAAGGGCAAGGGGGAGCAAGGTGATTGGTTGGTGACTGAGAGAGTGTGGGTGGACCTTGGAAGGAAGTGAAGAAAAAGAGAAGGCAGAAAACTATTGATCTGCCAGCTGTTAACCATCAATTTTGGTCAGTCAGTGGTCTGCAGACTCTGAAGAGGCAGCCTTCTCTTTATAGTGCTGTGGAAGGCATTTAGGATTCATAAGAAAAGACAAGGAAGTAAAATACCTGGGAAACATATTAGGGACTAGGGAAAGTCAAAACCGAGTATTGTCAAGTGTTATAAGAGTGTGAGATATAAGCTGACAGACTGAATTGAGAAAAATAGAATAGAGACTGGTCAAAATTACATTCAGAAGAGAAAGGGTTTGAGAGTGAGGAGTGTTTGTGAAGGGAATGAGTATGATTCCTCACTGTTTGACTTACTAAGGAAATAAGTTACAGAATATATTGAAACCAATACACTTCTTGTACAAATAAATTTTTATTTTGTTTATTGTTTTTTAAATAAGCTTTATTAAAAATTTTAAACTAACATTAAAAACATCAATCATCAATTACATCAGACATACTGGGTCAGCCCACTACTCATTTTTTCTTTCTTTTTAACATTTCTTAGTCATATTCAAATCCATTTATAATAACTTGAGAACATATTTAAATCTAAGCCAAGTCCAAAAAAAATGTTTAAATCTATGCAAAGTCCCATTTCTCTAGCCAGCAATAAAGAAAAAAGTCTCCAAGTTTGATAGAAATCAATATCTTCTTGCTCCTTCAATGGTAAATTCAGTCTAACCATTTCTGCACAGTTCAGGTTCTTTTAATCAATTTGTCAATGGGTAATTCTTCATTTTTCCAATATTACACAAATAGACTCCTCACCACAAAGATTACAAGTAAAATCAAATACATTTCTTATTTACTAATGTTCCAATACAATGCCTACTAAAAAAGAAATTTCTGGTTTAAGAAACTAAGGATTTTTGTACCACTTCCTCTACTCTATGTAATAAAAATACCCAATTTATGTTTAAATACCCAACATCCATTTGACATCTTTAGAAACATCTAAGCTAATCTATTTGGCGACAACTATTACCTATAATAGATTTTATACAACCTTTCTTTATGCTAAGTTGCTAATGTTTCATCTAACTTAAGCATCACTTAATCAAATGCTATTAACTCCTTATGAAAGCCCCACTCTTTACAATCTTTAATATATCTCGACTGTATCTACACCTTATGTCACCAACAAAGAGAAAGGTCAACTCCCTGTTCTTATATTTCTTAGCTCAATTTAGATCATATCTTATAATCCCTTCAGAATTCAATGCATTTGGATACAGAGAAGCTTCCATGGGTAAAAAAAAGAAAAGTAAAAAGAAAAAAAAAGACCATCTTAGTACAACTTTTCCTACACCAACATTAATAATTTTCTAGTATACTAACTTAAAGACAAAAGAATCATGTAACTTAGCCTTTCCATACCACATATAAACGTGCCAACCCATTTAAATCATTCCATTTAAGATAAAAAATTATCTTATTTCTTCTTTATACCCCTGCACCATCTCTCTTCCTTTGTTTTCAGTAGCTGTAGTGCTTGTTGTAAGTCAATATTCATTTCCAATGTCTGTATTTCTTGTTGCAAATCATACAGCTCTTGTGCCTTAAAACTCGTGTCCAGTTTGTATCTTATAACGTTCCCAGTAAGAAATGTTCCTTCTTTTGATAGCCAGAATAGATTCTCTCTCTCTAATATAGCAAGCAACTCCCATGATAACTTAATTATTGGCTTTGCTAATTTTGTTTCTTTGTACACCGTTTCAAATTTTTCATATGCTTGTTGTATTTTTTGTATATTCTGTTCAGCTTTAAATTGCACCAAAGCCTCCTTAATAGAATTATCAAGATTGTCAAAACATTCTTTTTGTTCAATTAAAATGTTTTCCTGTTGTAGTTACATCGCCTTGTGGGATATTTACAAAGCTATTAAGGATTCCTGTATTGCCAGAAGCGTCATCTTTAGCTCTTCCATAGTGGTAGTAATTTTCACCAAAAATTACAAGACAGCAGCTGAAAAAATATAGGAGAGTAAAAACACTTGCTATAAATTCAAATAACCAGAGAAAAAGAGAGAGACAGTGGCTGATCAGTGTAATTTTTCTCTTCTATCACGTTATTTCAAAGCAATTATTTATCTAATTCTTCGCCCTTGGGAAGGTTAGAGAAAAAAGTTCTTTCTCTCAAGCCTCAAACTCTCGAAAAGAACTTCAACTCCTCTTGCCCAAATCAGTCGCCACTTAAAACTCCGTGGAGGGGAGGGAGAGGAATTCCTCCCTCCATCAAAGGGCTTCTCCTTTCTTCTTTATGCCAAGTTAGACACTGTTGCTGCACTTTCACGGGTAATACAGAAGAAAAAAAGATAAAAATGCTCACCCAGCAGTCCGATGAACTTTCAGCTAATTAACTATGCTATTGTCCGAATGTCGATGGCTTGCAGGGAGCTTTATCTCTCCCCTGTATTGTCCAATAGAGAAAAGCCCGAAACTATCCCAATAAAAGCGGAACCACCGCCCCGCATAATTAGAAGAGTGCCCGGACAACCTAATCTTCGCCCCGACAGGGCTTAGATGAGCCTCCCATGGCTTTCTGTCGAACAAACACCGGCGTGATAGTGAGAGCTTTCGCTATTCACAACCGTGCTGCCATGACCCAAACCGGAAGTCCCTGTTTATTGTTAACCCTGCATCATAGGCTGTCTCAGCTTCAGGACCATATAGTCCAACAGAAGCCTTATAGCTTGAACACAATATTGAAGAAGAGGTTAATACAATTCGCATTAAATTCCTGATGGCAGCATTACATACTGAAGGAGAAGGAAATAAAGTTAAAGACACTCCATATCCAAACAAAATATAGGAGTATACTCATTACACATTCCAAGGAAGAAAAAAATAGTTGAACTTTCATGAGTGCTGTGCAGAGTTCTTGCAGTTACCAGACATGAGGTAGCCAAGGAGAGAGCATATGAGTGCCTTTTCTTCTACTGTGTAATCGTTTCTCCCAAGCTTCCCACCATACAGTTAAAGCACATGAAATGCTCCAGAGTGCATTTCAAATTAGGATACCTGGGCAGCTGGATTAGGAAACCTGGGCAGCTTCTATCACAGGAGAAAGACGACTTTCAGGAAATTGGAGGACAACTTTCAGCATACCACTAGTGCCACTCTTTCACCAAAGCTCTTTTATTGTTTAAAACATTTGTATGCCGCCAATTATGCCACAGCACCTCTGGGTGGCTCACAAGCATAAGATAAAAACCATAATAAAATTAAAGCACAACAACAATTAAATATACAGTAAGAATAAATCTCGCCCCCTACCTCAATCCCTGCTACAACGCTTGCAGGGAAGGAACTTTATTAAAAGCATCTACATCAGAGACAAGATATTGCCATAATCACCTCTTAGATATACAAAGATTAGGAGACCTTGGAAAGAATGACAATTACACCTTGAACAAGGACCAGAACAAGGAAACCTGTAATTCCAGGGGACTGCAGTAAGTCTCCCATGAGAAAAGTTTACATCATTTAGGGCTTTTTAGCTTATTAAAAAAGCTAGTAAGAAGTGATTAAAATAGAAAAATTATGCATCACATGGAGAAAGAATCCAGATTACTAGAATGCAGGATCATATAGGGATGTTAAATTGTGAAAGATTTATGACGGGTAAAAGGTACAGCAGAACCCCATATCCATGATTGGTATATTTCTTTTTCCACAATCTCATTAGTTATCTTAGCATGCAATTCTTTTATTTTCCTATTAAAACAGGTCACTTACTGAAAGCTTTTTAAGAGCTCTCTTTGGCACTTTATGGAACTTTGTAACCATTTTCACTAGTTTCTAATCTGTTTTCTAGGACATCGGCCTGCCTGTGCACTCAGATTATTTAGGAGCTACCTCCTCCAGGTGCCCTCACTTTCACAGGTGTAGCGCTATCACATTTTGTGATGTGGAAAGATAGTTTCTCAATTTTAGTACTCCACCCACGTAATTCTGTCCTCCGCTATGCTCGACTGGTGTCAATTTGCAGCATGCTCCTATGCATGTGTACTAAGATATTTGGTCCATTAAATTCAGTAGGTTTTACTCTCAAGTGAATATAGAATTATGGTTGCCATTCTATTCATACATCCTAAGGAGTAAGTCAAAATGAACTCAAAGGCACCTTACAATCTAAGACAAATCTTAGCTAATACTGTATATGAGAACTACATTTTTATTTTCTAAGATGTGGTGTTTTATTCAGTTTTATTTTATTCTTTGTAATAAATGCATTACAGAAGTATTACAAAATGTTTTATTTGATTCAAATGTATTTTAGTATCTTTTTATTTTTGTGAAAAGGGTGGTATAAGTTCACCAAATGAATAAAATTCAAAGAACAAACTACTACCTTCAAATCCCAGGACAGCTTAGAGCCAGAATTCTCAAGGAACTTTCTCCTATCACACAACCTGCTTGCTCCAAGATCAACTTCACAGCTCACCAGCATCTTGACTTATTTAATTTCTATACCACCTATTAGCCAAAATAGCTCTCTGGGTCGTTTACAAAGTCATAACATATACAATAAAAATATTAAATCAAGCATACAGAATATATCAATAAAATAGCAATAGGACACAGCAAAAAAACCCACAATAGCCACAACTCAAATTAATCCAGAATATAGCAGCAATAAAATATAGTAAATACTATATAGATAAAACACAATTTTTAATTTAACTATTAAAATATTGGGCAAATA